GTCTGTATAATCTATTTAAGTGTATATATATATATATATGTAGTAATTTTGTTTATAAACAATTACTATGTTTTAGTTTGTTTATACAGATACAATAGAGTCCCAACTAATGAAGAAGTCGTAGAAGGAAAGAAATCCTATTAAAATATAATGCGTGAGTTTAGCGATTTTCTTCTTTTTTTTGTGACAGAAATTAGCGCATTTTTCATTATTTATTTTTTAAAATCAAATTGTATATAAATTGGCAAGATTATTAAAATATACAGATTAGAAAATCACAACAAAAAAGAACATATATTTATACAAATTATAGCCAAGTCAATTTAATATACAGATTTCAAATATATACTTATACAAAGTATATCTACATATACAAATTACAGCCATATAAAAATATTCAATTGACAATCCTAACATAATAGGCATATACTTATACATATTGTATATAATATACAAACTAAATTATCACAACAAAACACGAACCTGCACTGAATTAATATGCAAGTTCACAAAAATTGAACCACAAAATATAAGATTATACAGAATGGACTAAATCATATACAGATTCCACGTATATACATATACATAGAGTATGTGTATATATAAACTACAACTACAAGATTCAAATTAACGACAATAAATATACAAATCAGAACAAACAACATAGATTACTATCATAATATACAATCTTGTAAATTAATGACTTTCAAAAAACAAATCTACTTTCAAAAATGAAGGATAAACAACAATATCTTCCACAACATTATAGAATCACAATTTTTTTGTAGAAATAAATGGATGATCTTACTTGAATTCAAACAATACTTTCAAAAATGAAGGATAAACAACAATATTTTCCAGAACATTGTACAAGCACAATTTTTTTGCATAATTCAACGGATGATCTTACTCGAATTCGAACAATGATTGCGACTATATGAGTTAGAATCTATTACATCTAAAAAAAACTACAATTCAGATTGTTCATTCAATTGATGAATGTTTAAAAGCAAAATTGAGTTTCAATACACGAAAAAACACCAATTTCGATATGAAAACAGTAAAATCAAAGCATTTTTCGTCATGAAATACATTTTACTTCCTCTTGTTATCTCTAAAATTGATTTGATCTTGATTGCTTGAAGAGAATCACCAAAACTTGATCGATGTGATTTACCCAGTTACAATGGAGTCACTACTGATGAAGAAGTCGTAGAAGGAAAAAGATTCTTTTTGCGTGAGTTTAGCAATTGTCATCCTTTTTTTAAACATAATTTGCAGCCTTTTATTAAATTTATTTAAAAAATAAAATTGTATATAACTTCAAATGAATCCTGAAATATACAGATTAATAGCTCCATAGCAAACATAAAATTTGTTGAGTGCAATTATGCAAACTATAGCTATAGCATACAAATAAGATTTTTATCTTTGCTATACCTAAAATTTCCTCTATATTTTTTCTATTTTTTTAACTAAATTATAATTTGAAAATATTATCATAAATATCGACAAGACAATATTACATGGTGTTAGTGTTACTACTTGTTAATCAAATCCACAAATAAAATTATCTTTATAATATTTATTAAGTTTGATTTCAAGTAAAAACATAAATAGCTAAATAGAAATATTAACCTAATTGTTTTTAATGATCGTAATAAAACACAAAAACTATGACAACATTCCATAAGTTACGGGCCTATGTAGTGATTCCCTAGAAATTTTAGGAAATTTTTATTTTATGTAGTACATATTTTATAAACATAATTTATATTTAAATTGTAATATTTCAAACTTTTTAACAGATTTTGAGTTTAAACTCTTGTTATTTTTAATACTCTATTTTATTTTTATTTTTTAATTAATTTTTATTTAGCCCACTGGCCGATCCTATCCATATTTCTCAAGCTCCACAAATCGGCAGGTTTATTCAAGTCGGGCTAAAAAGCCCTTTTCTTAAATGGGCTCCAAAAATCATAGCCCAACCCTATTAAATCACGGGTTAGGCCAGGCCGGCCCTACGGGCCTAGCCCATATTGACGGCTCTAATATTGAATATTTGTTCTTGAGTTTTACATTGGTTTGGACATTTAAAATGCATAATCTAATTTTAATTTTTCTTTAATGTTTAATCATGTAACTAGTACTTATTAGACTTGTTTTAGCATGATTTAGTACTTTTAAATTATGATCATTTTCATTATGACTTTGCAATATTTATTTTATATGATGATTTCATTATTATTTTTTATTAAATATTTTTGTGTCATTACTCATTTCATATTTTGTGTTATTTTCTTAAGAAACACTTTATATAAATGTATTTTGGTTGGACTAACGAAATATTGCACAAGTTAATTATATGTTTGTATGCATAATTTACCGGAAAATCCAAAAACCTGAAAAAATATGATGCTTATTAGTTTAGTTTTATTTAAAAATTCGACACAATGGTTTGGTTTGGTATTTGAAAAATCCAAACCAACCCGAAGTTGAAAAATCCGAAAAAACGGATTTTATTAATTTGGTTTGGTTTATAAATTTAAATATTTTACGCAAATGGTTTGGTTTGATATTTGAAAAACCCGAACCAACCCGATCATGTGTACCCCATTCGAAGGTATGATTCATTTTATTAATTTCTTATCTTGAGTCTTAAAATAGTGTGGGACAAACAATTTATTTTGCTGAGATTTTTGAAAATCTGCCACATGATATGATAATAATTTCAGAAGATGGTAGTGATACTTGTCATTTATATATGTAATCTACAAGCTTGCATATTATTTCTATTTTTGATATTAAAAAGGAGAAAGAATCTTATAAATATGTACTAGTGCAGTGCAGTAATAAATTTTGCATTTTAAATAACGCTATTACTTTTCCAGATGCAATTTATGGAAAGAAAAAAAAAAACTAATGGTAGTAGACACAACATTAGCCTGGTGTATTATACATTATCATTAATAGATTTTGACTGACTGTAATCAATATTTTGTATGTTCGGATCATACGTGCAAGAATTCCAGAAATGTACAACCACCACAAGTGGAAATATATTTCATGTCTTCGTTATCGTTATATTTACTAGAAATGACAGTATTTTTATAGGCTTGTTATGATTATACAATGGAAGACATGTTAGAAAAAAATATTACTGTATATATTATGTGCATACCTCAATTTTCTACTAAAGTAGGAATATTTTTTTTAAAAAAAAGTTGTAACTTGTAAGTTATTATAATTTTAAGATGATTAATTATGTATCATTTTAGAAGAAAGAATTTATTTTGATATATGTATAAATACACTTTATATATTGGTAAAACTTACAAATTTGAAGATGCATTTTCTGAAGCAGTAAATTTGAATTTACTTATGAAATACTCTAAAATTTATACCCAAAGTAGTAAATACTCTAAATAGTAACTATATGTATGGAGTATAGCTAATGAAGTAAAAACAATATTATTATCCAAGCCATAGTTTTGAATGTGTTGGTATAGTATGAACATCACTGGACAAGTTGCTACTAAGTGTTTGCATTAGTCAACTCCATATGAACATCACTAATTGTTCTAGCACCATGCATCATCTGGACAATCTGAACAGTGTGTTGTCATTTTCCATCTTGGCAGAATCAAGTTAGCACAGTGCACAACAGACAATGGATCGACCAAATGTAAGTTGCCCGTTGAACCACAACTATCTGGAATTGGAAACAATATCTTGGTTATTTCACAATTGGAAAAGCTTTCATGTCCTACGGAGTCGCAAGAAAAGTCGCTGCACGCTTCTTATGAAGCAATCCTGACTCAAGGAGGTAAATGTAAGGGGTTTGATTTTATGAGGCAGATATTACAAGTGAGATAGAGGAGGCTAACCATTTGTTTCTGTGTGGTTTCCCTATTGTGCAACGCTGAGTCAAAGATTTGCTTCTCTGCTGGACAGGTTAAAGCATGGTGGCAAAAGGTAGAAGAAGAATCAGAGAGGTACCATTCCAGCTTTGTATTTGGTGGATTATATAGAAAGATTGGAAACTCAATGTTCGGGGCCAGCACAGAGAACACACATAGGTTAGAATACCATTGACTTGTAGCTACGTGTATTTTGGTGTAAAATGTAACATGTCTCCCATAGAAGCTGAGTTTTGATCTTCTTCCTTTTTTGTACAAACCCAGAGATATCCAAGTGCTATTATTATTACATTAATTAATGAAAATAGAATTTAATAGTAACTACCCCCACCAAAAAAGAAGAAGATCTCATTGCTGGACCTCTCACGCGCATGAGGCAGACAACTTCTATTGAAGAACAATATAACTGACACTTGATAATCCTAATAGTTAGCAAGTTGGTCATCAACTCATGATATTAGGGGGAGCAAGAGAGAACAAAAAAAGAGTTGATACTACAATATCAAAACTAATATCATACTCAAAGAAAACTTAGTTTCATAACTTTGAGACACTTCACAAAGTGTTCACAACATCACACAAAGCATTTCCAATCAAGAAGCTACTCATGGTTCCTAAACCTCCATGTATATAAGACTTGTAACCCTAAAAATTACTCATGTTGCCAGTATGTATAATAGGAACATAATGCACCTCTTTCTTACCTTCCCTTTTATCCTTTTGGTTCCCTTCCGACAAGATGTTAGTATAGCTTTATTAAGAAGCTACTGCAGATCATTATACTGTAGACCTTGCTACAAGAGACAATATATCTTATCTATTGTTTAATCCATCTACTTGTTATTGAGAACATTGCATCTGATGCTAATAATGTCATATTCTAACCTGGCTTAGCAACTCTTAAAAACATTTTGTGGTTTCACATAAAATACATTGACACTAGAAAAATAATAACCAACATATGTGTCACCATATGCTGCCTTTTAGAGACTGAATGTTGTCCCCATCTCAATGTCACTAGACTAAATAGTAAATAGATACTATCAACCAAGCGATTTTTAACCATGCAGCAAGAACAATAACAATCATTCAACTTTCATAAATACAGCCAGCTGGTCATCGAAACAGATCAATCAGAAATTCATGAAGAAATAAATGCATACAAAACAGAGTCAAAGACAACGGGGTCTCTCTCTCACACACTCTACCTTTATAGCTAATTTATCCACGACGAAAGACAAACTTAAAACTTCACATTACTGTGAAAATCGAGATAAGGCTAAAAAACGGTTAAGAAACAACTTGTCTATCTGCAAACATCTCCAGAAAAAAAATATATATATATCTGCAACAGAAGTGCAGAAGACTAGTGCTACCATAAACATAATCTTCCTTGAGAGGTTAGTGTTCACATATTGTTTCTCCCTCAACTCCATCTCTTTCTCTTCTTCTCATTCCAGCATAACTCCACACAGGATCATCTTAAACATCTCACATTCCCCTCCTCTGATGGCATGTACCAGAGATGCCCACAAACCAACAAAATAGAAAAGCATGTAAAGAAAAATCCAAGAACTATAAGCAGGAGCAGAACGAAAGTCATCATCAATTTTCAGTGTAGAAATCAACTCATAGGCAAACTATCACGTAAATTTTAACATTTGAGCCACCAACTTACAGATAAACATGAATTAAAATGTAGTAGCAAACAAAAGTAAGGAGTTAAATACAGATCTAAAAGTTGGAAATTACAGATCCAATCTAGATCTATAATCTGAATACAAAATTTCTAAATATTTTCTGCAAAATCCGACGCAGAAACTAGTTTTTCTCTACCAAGAATATTACAGTTCAATTAAATTGAATAACTGATTCACATCAAATATAGAAGCTCCAAACCAACCTCATAATCATGTGTCCAAATCAAATGGATCCGACTACACACGAGCAGCAACAGCCGGCGCAGCAGCAGCGGCGGCAGATGAAGCAGCACCACCGAGGAACGACAGGAATCCAACGTTGGCCGGCTCTTGATCATCAAGGAACAAATCTTCAGGAACCCTAAAAGCTCCATGAGCAGAAACAATAGCCAATCCAACAAGAAGAGCAGAGATAAGCAGGGATCCAACACTGGTGAGGAACACCACAACAATGGTGAATACCACTAAGATCCCCAAAGTTTCACGATCAGAGAAAGTACGGCCAAAGATAACAACGGGCTGATCTGAAGGTCTAAACAGATAGAGAAAAAACCATCCCCCGAGGAGAGCAAGAAGGACAAGAAGAGAAAAAGGATGAGATAGAAGGGAGAGAGCAAGTACGCCAGCAAGTAGGGTAACGTAATTGACGCGAAAGTAGGAGAAGTTTTTGCGGATGCGTGAGGCTGCTTCAGCGACGGAGTCAGGACGGGCAAATGATGTGCGATCGAGAAGTTCCAACCAAGGGCGGCGTTGAGCGAAACCTTGACGGATCGAAGATGAAAGACGGGATATGAATGAACGGAATGCGGGAGTGGAGATAGGGGCCTGAGATTGAGATCCGGTAGTACCCGTAGATTGCGGACTGGAGATCGGAAGTGTCACCGGAGAAGCCATTGTTTTTTCTTCCTTTGTTTAGCTCCCTTCTCGATGCGGAGGGTACACAGAGAGAGGGAGTGCAAGTGGGAATATTGTGTACAAAAATAATGCCAACGCTTCTAAAGGCTTCGGCTTTCCTTTTTTTTGTTATATATATATTCACCTATTTCTTCTCAAAGCTTGTGACAGCCAATGATTTTCCTTTTTTCTTTACACTCCATCCCTCTTGTTCTCTGTGTAATTAAACTCATCTGGATACAATTTTGAGAAATCAATTAAAAAATCTATTCTATATATTTATTAAAATATATATGGACATAATTGATGCCAATTGACAGCTTAAAATTCAGTCATTTGGCATTATTTAGCTAATTAGCTTTTAAAAATCCAAAAATAAATAAATCATTGTATATTTTTATAGTGAAAAACCTCTTTACAATGATAATCGCTCGAAATTCATATTTGATTCAATTGCTTATGAAAATTATCGATATTCAGATTCTTCAATCTCTTTTGATGAGTGAATTTTTAGGAGATAAATTCTCGAAAAAATTTAAGAATCTCCTCAAATAAATTATAATCGTCTTGTTGGCTATTGATACCTTGATGATGCCTTAAGGGCTTTATAGTTAGTTGCTTAGTATTTAATGTTGATATTAGAAACATAACAAATAATTTGATGTAGAAATTATGTGATTGCAACACCTATAAATTACATAGTTTGCTTTTGGCGTATCGTGATGCGTATAAAGTTAATGAGTTAGAATTATGTTTTACTTTCAAGTAAATAGCATCGTGGTTGCCTATTGAGTCATGATGATGACATGTTGGGTGTTTCATTTACCTGTTAGCAACCTTATACTTCAATACGAAATACAGATTATTGTGAAGGTTGCGTAGAAAGTCATCTTACTTGTTGATTAATTAGATTGTTTGATGCCTAAAGTGGCTATCTTACTAGCTATTAACATTTGAGAGTAAAAATTTGAGTTATATACATATAAATGTCCCTGTATTTATTGCCTAGAAAGCCTATTGACAAGTGTAGATTGCCTATAGAACTATATTGAAATCTACTTACTTATGGACTTTCTTTATGCCTAATTTGAAATTACTGACCCTTAATAGAGTCTTGTGTGTTCAAGGTGCAGTTATAGGAACACAGAAGGCTCAAATATAGCTATAGGAGTCCAAAAGGCTCACGATACAGACATAAGGACCAATTGTGCTCAAGATACCATAAAGCATATGAAAGATATGACTAGTTGTCCTAACTAAGTTACTCATAGTCTTATTCAATTATGTTAATTGTGATTGATATAGACATTTCTCATTGGGATCTATATTTTGGTATTAGCGACCCCATATTTAGATAAGGCATAATGATTGTCCGTGTAAGTTACTTATTGCCATATTGCTTGCTTTCTGGCCATTGATTATTTGTTGTTGACCTCGGGCATAGTTAGTTGTAGGGCCTAATCCATCGATGACCCCCTAAAATTGGCACGATGTTTCACTTAGACACCTTAACTGAGCGATGTTCATTTTCGACACCTCATGACGAATCTTATTGTGTCATTTTAACACTTTTTGCTCACATGACATAATGAGTGTGATACACTCATTTGATAGGCGCGTGAAAGGGTTAGTTAGTTAATTTTTAATGATTTTTTTCTTTTTCTTCACCATTTTCAGCCACCATTTTGCCCAAGTTAAATTTCATCTATTAGGAATGAAGATTTTTCAACAAAAATGACGGAAAATGTTTTTAAAATTTAATAATAAACTCATTCATAAAATCCTTTCATGGAAGAATCTAATATTCAAAATGATGTAAATTTAAGAAGATTGATAAAAGCTTATTTCAATTATTTGTAGGGAGTGAATTCAATGATGCGCAACATGCAGATGTGGTGGGTGTAATTTCTGCAAAAAGGGATAGAGATTTGGTGAAAGCAAAGTGGGGGAGTCGGGGGTATTTTACATACCACAAAAAAGAAATTCAAATCAGAAGGAGAATTTGCTTGTTTGGGGGGTTTTGGAGAAGGCGATTGGGGTTGGGAGAAAGTGTGTTTGGAAAAGCCGACTGAGGGTTGTGTGTGTGTGGGG